ATCAAAAAATAGCTTCCTTGTGCTTACCTCAAATAATATTATTTATAACTAAATATTTATCTAATATATAAAATTATTGTCTGTTTGTTTTAAGTAGGTCTGGGGATAAGTTTGTAACTAATTTTTATACCCCTAATTGTTAAGGGTGGCTGATGTCATATTTTTTTTTAATTTTTTCGAGTTTGTTTTTATTTTCACTTTATTATGATTTAACATTGAAAAATACATACAGCCCTATTTTATTCCCCTTCTAGCATCCCTAATTTTTTCAATAGGGATTTTAATTTATATCTCACCTGCAATGGCGGGAAGGGTGGGTGCCCCACGCAGGAGGGGTGGGGCAGATTGTTAATAATCGCGACACATGAGTCCTATCACTACTAACAAGAGTATGTATGTATACCTGTCTATGATAATCAACAATCACCCCCTACAACCGTCCCTCCACCCTTCCGACCATCGCAGGTAACACGCTTCACCACGTATATTAGAAATCGATGTGACTCGACATATGTGGACTGCCTCGGTGGTCTAGCGGTTTAGCACATCGCCGTAATTCCGATAGTCGCGGGTTCGATTCCTCGCACGGCACAAAAATTTGTATTCATGTGTATGATTGTTTGTATAGAGTCAGAAAGAGACATATATATATTTATTTATATATAAAATTCTCGTGTCACAGGTTTTGTGTTTATATATCTCCGAAATGGCTTAACCGATTGTGATGAAACTGTATATGTATATTCAGTAGGTCTGCGAATAGGTTTATATATAATTTTTATACCCCTAAGTGTTAAGGGTGGAACTCTCCAAAAAAATTTCTCATTTTTTGGACAATTTTTTTTATTTTACTTTATTATGATTTAGCATTGAAAATACATACAACCCCAAATTTTCGCCCTTCTAGCATTAACCCTAATTTTCTAATAGACATTTTAATCTATATGGCAAAACTTTTCGCTGTTTGAATTCAAATTCAAAAATCATTTATTCATGTAGGACATTTTAGCCGCTTATGAACGTCAAGTTTTTACATTATAATTTTTTTTTTTTCCCTACCGTCCAGTTGGGTATATAGTTTGATAATATATATATATATATATATATATTTGATAAAATTATATCAATTTTTATCTAATCTTACCCCTCTTCATAAAACATTTGATAAAAAGTTTGCTGTCAGTTGTGGCCGTTACACTATCGGCCAATCCTGGCTTCGTATGTGTTTAGTGTACGTCATATTGTTTGTATTATTTACTAGTTGTGCCCGCGGTTTTACCCGCTAGTTTTAAATTTACACAGAAGTATTATATATCATTTTAAAAGTATTTAGATAATGATTAAGACGGCGTGGTTAATTTAATTGACTTATATAAAAGGAGGCAATTCTAGCTTCTAAATGCTTAACTTATCTTTTTACGAGTGTAATACGTTCAAACACTCGGGCCTTAGCACAATCTCTGCTTACTTTTGGATTAGATTTGCTCGTTTGAATTTGTGTGAATTGTCCAGTGGGTTTTTTTATAGATGATAATGGAATGGTGCACCCGTCTGTGCTAACGGTTTACGCTGGCGGGGCACCAGTGGAGGATGATAAGATGAACATGAGGTCAGGTCAGTTAGCCCATCGTGACAAATTCACCAGGAATTTATCACGATGGTTTCCAGGGATAACCCCGTGGTTGTGTGTTCTGATGAATTGTTCGACAACACGCTGGAACCTAAGTGGTCTCGAACAGCGCGGTTTCAGAGGAGCTTCCTCCCGCGTACACTTAGGTCGTGGAATGAACTTCCTGCCGAGGTTTTCTCAGGAGATTACAGCATGAGGTCCTTCAAGAAGGGTATATTAAGGTTTCTTAAGGGTCGACAACGCGCACGTGACACCCCTGGTGTTTCAGGCGTCCATAGGCTACGGTAATTATTTACCATCAGATGGGCCGTATGCCTGTTTGCCACCATCACCATAGTAGTATAAAAAAGAACTGACGCAATTTAGAGGTTTCGAGAATTGTATTTGATCAATGAATCAACAAATGATGACAAAGGATCGGATGTGCGTATGTTTCATATTCAGTAGTTGAACAAAGCACATAAACACATTCCTTTACCCACATATATTACGATAACAGTTTCCCGTCGCCCCTCCTGTCCCGCCCCTCCTGTCCCGCCCCCCCTCTTATCCCGTCGCTACTCTACTAACATGCATACATATGGGGGAAAGAGAATTGTTATTAATGTGGACTGATGATCTTATTGGTAGCAATGTACCATGTCAGGTTTAACCTCCACGTGGTACCCCTTGGAAACCATCGTGATAAATTCTTGGTGAATTTGTCGCGATGGGCTAACTGACCTGACCTCGTGCTCATCCTATCATCCTCCACCTAAACCGTCAGCGCAGGCGGGAGCACCATTCCATTATCATCTATAAAAAAAACATGCATACATACAAACATGCTCTAAATCAATGTATATATATAAATATAAACTATTTCATATATGAATAATGAAAATATGTATATGTCTGTCATCTATATAAATATATATAATAAACACCTAGTGACATACTAGACTTACGAAAACTTCTGCTGTATACATAGACCGATAGTACCGTTGCGTAGGTTTAAAGGTTTAAGCATAGATAGGGACAGACAGCGACAGCGACAGCGACTTTGTTTTATACTATACTAGCTGTTCCCGCGACTTCATCCGCGTGGATTTAAATATATTTTTCTAAAATAAAAGTAGCCTAAGTTACTCATTATTACATCAGCTACCTGCCAAAAAAAAGTCCCGTCAAAATCGGTTCAGCCATTTCAGAGATTAGCCGGAACAAACAGACCGACAGACAAAAATGTTATTTTGGTGTATGTAGCGTATATATTATATTTTGGTATATATTCATATGTATATAGTAAAAATCGGTTATTTCAATATTACAAACAGACACTCCAATTTTATTTATATGTATAGATAATTACTCATTCATTGTTTGTTATTAGTGTCTAACCGTACGATCGTATTATGCAAATACGTACTTATTAGCTATGTCCTGTGGTATATGGACTATTTCATCCTCGTACAAGTTTGTACAAGATTATAAAATTAATAAAACCGGTCATAATACGATAATGTACGAGGTTAGAGCTAAATCCAGCTAATGTAGACATAAACATTCAGAGAGATAACATCTTTATTTACGACTAGCGATACTCGCGACTTCGTCTTTATTTTTCTAAAATAAAAGTAGCCTAAGTTACTCCTTATTACATCAGCTACCTACCAATAAAAGTTCCGTCAAAATCGGTATTAATAACTAGCTGTACCCACGACTTCATCCGCGTGGAATTTAACTTTATTTGACTAAAATAAAAGTAGCCTAAGTTATTTTTTTATTACATCAGCTATCTGCAAAAAAAAGTCCCGTCAAAATCGGTCCTGCCATTCAGCCACAGTCACAGACAAAAATTGTAAAAAGTTATTTCGGTGTATGTATCGTATTTATATGTATATTCAATTAATTTTCAATATTACAAACAAACACTCCAATTTTATTTGTATGTATTGATTACATTAAATAATATTTTGATTACATATAAATAGTATTACAAGTACATAATACAACTGCTATTTAGTATAGTTTATTAGAAATATCATTTAGTTAATTACAAAATATCAATGTTTTTATTTTATTTAAAACAATACTATACCTATGTACATAGATTGTAGTATATTCATTATTAAGAATTGCAAACGTTTCTAAACTTTGTTATAATAATTTACTGTGACAAAGTACATAGTATCCAATGATATTGAACTCTTGTACCCTTGTCACAGTAATGCTCCATTAACAGTGTTTAAAAATGTTTGTAATTGTCAAAACGATGATTGTGACAAATAGTGTTTATTACATATACTTATGAGTGTATTAAGACTTAATGTTACACAAAATGCTATGTAAATTAGTAATAACTAGTTATTACATGTCACTTGGTGGTGCAATCGATTTGTCATAGATGTGTATCTGTCTGTTATAACATGTAGTTGTATATGTAAGTTTGGCATTAAAAAATATATAGAAAAAAAGGAAAAAATGATAAATGACAAAAAAAAGACTGAATATTAAAAAAAAAACGAGTTATTACATGTCACTTGGTGGTGCAATCGATTTGTCATAGATGTGTATCTGTCTGTTATAACATGTAGTTGTATATGTAAGTTTGGCATTAAAAAATATATAGAAAAAGTGGAAAAGATGATAAATGACAAAAAAAGACTGAATATTAAAAAAAAAACGAGTTATTACATGTCACTTGGTGGTGCAATCGATTTGTAATAGATGTGTATTTGTCGGTAATAATATGTAGTTGTTTGTGTAAGTTTGGCATTAAAAAATATACAGAAAAGAATAGAAAAAATGATAAATGACAAAAAATAGACGGAATATTAAAAAATAAACAAAAAAAATAATAGTATAAGTAGAAGAAAATAAAAATAAAAGACTAAAAAGAGATCTCAAATGAAAAAAAATGTGAATAGATATTAATTAGCTGTAATATTTATTCTGTACCTATTTATTTAAAATAGCAATTAATTTGTAACATTTGTTGATGCTTGTTTTGTTATATTACATTTGTATATAATTTTGCATGTGTTTTTTTCTTTATAATACATCACTCATTATGTAATTTAAATATATATATACCAATGAAAAAGTAAAAAAATACAAATGAGACTAAACAAAAAAAAAAATTAAAATAAAAGAAATAATAGAAAAAACTGGATATTTAAAGACTTGAAAAAGAAGGAAAAAAATTAAAAAAGGCACAATATATAAAAATAAAACAAAAATGTTAAAAAAAATATACACTAACATCAATACAGAAAAAAAAACATGACAAAAAAGATCTGATAGATATAAAAAAAAATAATATTGAACAAGGCGCACTTCGAACACGGGAACTACGAGTAGAGATATGAACAGAGTATGGTCTTTGTAGATTGTGCTGCCGACACAAGTGATACGGAGACGTTGGCTGATGAAGATGTGGAGTACGAGCCTGTATCAGATCCTGAGAACATTAAGCCAGCGTTCGATGACACCTCCGAAGACAGTGAGGTAAGTCAAACATCATTTATCCATGTAGGACATTTTAGCCGCTTATGAACGTCAAATTTTTATATTCTACTAGCTGACCCGTGACCCGCCAAACGTTGTTTTGCCATATAAATTAATATCGAAAAAAATATTTTTGTGGAAAAAATGAAAAAACATTTTTGGGGTGAGCCACTCTAACATTGGGCCACATCTATACATATAAATTAAATTTGGAGTGAATGTTTGTAATATTACTGTTTGTAATATTAATACGTACGTGTCTGTATGTCTGTTTGTTCCGGATAATCTCTGAAATGGCTGGACCGATTTTGACAGGACTTTTATTGGCAGGTAGCTGATGTAATAAGGAGTAAATTTAGGCTACTTTTATTTTAGAAAAAATATTTTATTTTAGAAAAATAAAGTAATGTTGCAAAATTCCACGCGGACGAAGTCGCGCGTACAGCTAGTGGGATATAAGCATTTTAGCAATACTAAAGTGGTTAAGGTGCACTGAAAAGGTTAGGAAGCATTGCTTTAGACCAGAGGTTCCCTTTTTAGTGTCATAGACCCCTTGCCATATTTTTCGGTTTTGGGTAGACCCCCCATTCTTACTTGGTATTGATTTTTTGTAAATTTCTAACTGCAGTAAAGTTTAGTGTTAAAAACATACAAGTGAACAACAAGATGTCTTACAGTTTGTCATAGACCCCTGGGGGTCGATATAGACCAATTTGAGAATCACTGCTCTTTATGTCATTCTTATATTTGTTATGATTCTTGACCGTGATTGAGACGTCTCAATCACGGTCATTAGTGTGTAGTTTGGAATCGCAAGGTTATCAAATAATCACGTGGACTTAATGTTTATTATCACGTATTGACAGACTGTTATAGGTATCAAGTGAAATAATAGTTACGAGTCAGTCTTTCATCACATGAGGCTCGAAAGAGGGTGAGTGTTCGCCGAAAATCACGTCTTATCACAAGACGCACGATTTTTAAACCTAAGAACGACGTAACGACATTTCTAGAATAAAATTTGATATTCTAAAAATTTTAAGTATATATGTAGGTACTAAAAATATAGGTGCTTTTGGGTTAGGGTAGTAGTCTTAAAACTCGCCACGTATCACCAAGGGGAGGATGAGGGGTTGAAATGGTAATGCTAAAATATCTCGTAATTAATGGACGGAAAATTTAATATAATTAAAATATATCGAAACTAGCTACTCGCCCGGGCTTCGCACGGGTGTACATGTCTTACATATATATATATATGAACCTTCCTCTAGAATTATTAAAATTTATTACAAAAAATCGCTTCAAAATTCGTTGCGTAGTTTTAAAGATTTAACCATACATACTATGTAGTGATGATATTAGGATTGTTACGCCATATAAAGTAGTCTAAGAGTCAATATCGAAACGTGCCCGCCCACCCATATGGTGACCCATATTTGACTGGATGCTAGTGGACGAGTCAATTGGTGTATCTAAAATTAATTTAACTTATTTTGGTCCTTCCGCCCTTATCAGTGTGCGAAGAATATAAATTGACACATTATGACTAGGCTCTGATGGTCAGGTTTTTTTGTGTATGATAATGGAATGGTGCACCCGCCTGCGCTAACGGTTTACGCTGGCGGGCACCAGTGGAGGATGATAAGATGAACATGAAGTCAGATCAGTTAGCCCAACGTGACAAATTCAACGGTAATGTATCACGATGGTGTCCAGGGGGAACCGCGTGGAGGTCGATCTGACATGGTACATTGCTAGCAATGGGGTTATCTGACAATCCCCTTCCCCCCTGATGGTCAGGTTCGTGCTGCTTTCGTAATGATGATGGTATCGGGTATACAGATACGTGGAGCATAGGACATTTTCGCTGAATGATAGGATGAGCATGAGGTCAGGTCAGTTAGTGACAAATTCACCGGAAATTTTGGTTTCCAGGGGAACCGCATTGTTATCAACCTGACATCTATACATATAAATAAAATTGTAGTGTCTGTCTGTAATATTGAAATAACCGTTTTTTACTATATGCATATGAATATAAATACGGTACATATATTAAAATAACACTTTACAGTTTTTGTCTGTGTGTCTGTTTGTTCCGGATAATCTCTGAAATGGGGCACCGATTTTGACGGGACTTTTATTGACAGGTAGCTGATGTAATGAGTAACTTTGGCTACTTTTTTTAGTTTTAGAAAAAGAAAGTTAAATTCCAAGTGAACGAATTCGCGGGTACAGCTAGTACATTATAAAAAAGTACCCATTACTAACTGTCGCATTTCCCCCGGTTCTGACTGGTTGCTAGGCTTACACCGCCAAGTCATCAACGTCAGGTCAGAACCTGATAATGTATGCGCCCCCGTTAAGTTTTTGTGTGTCATCACACTACATTTGAACTCATGATCTTATATGTCTGAGTCGCGGGATCGTAAACTGGGGCATGACGCCACCGAATTATACAGACTAAAAATAAGTCGGTGGCAAATATATCCAGGACGCTTTGCTGGAGTTTCTCTTTGTATAATCTGTACACACATGGTTATCGTAAGTTTTAGTCCAACCGTTCTGATATTATAAATACGAAAGTGTGTCGGTTTGTTATATTGTTACCATTGAACAGTTATTAAATGGAATTTAATAAGATTTAACGTGAATATAGATTTTATTTAGAGTACGTATTTATATAAATCTAGCTAGAGTGATTCAAGAGAAAGGTTTATACATGTATTATATATATAAACCTTCCTCTTGAATCACTCTATCTATTAAAAAATACGATTCAAAATCCGTTGCGTAGTTTTAAAGATTTAAGCATATATAGTGACGGACAGACCGCGATAGCGACTATGTGTTATACTATATAATAAAGCAGCCGAAATTTAGATTATTCATTCGTCATCAGCTTCTTCTTTATCCCATTTATTCGTGGTCGTCGTAATGTTTTTCTCTTCCATTCATCTCTGTTCGCAGTCATCTCGTTATTTACTTTTCTTACCATATCATCTTTCAGACAGTACATCCACCTCTTGAGTTTGCACAAACTCTGTATATAAACAGGTTTCTTATTAGACTTGGAGTATTTCCTCTGCGATGTTTGAAATGTTAAAACGTGCGTGGTTTTAATCATGTAATTAAATTCATAGAACATTTTAGACGCTTATGAACGTCAATTTTTTTTGTTTTAATGTGTTTTCCCTGCGTCAAATTCAAATTCAAATTCAAAAATCATTTATTCATGTAGGACATTTTAGCCGCTTATGAACGTCAAGTTTTTACATTATATTTTTTTCCCTACCGTCCAGTTCGGTATATAGATCCAATTGTAGAAGAACTGGCAAGAAATTCAATTGAATTACTTTTTTTTTAAAAGCCAGTTTATTTACAATGCATAGTAAATACCTATGTATGTAGGTGTCTATGTCTAACATTAAATGAAAATCCCGTACATGAAAACTATTGCCATGCACGCTCGTCATTCCAGCTCTCTTTCCCTTTATCATTCATATTTATCTGCGGGGTTCTCACGTTCAGTATACAGATTCAATTGAGACTAACTGGGAAGTAACACAAATGATTCCTTTTAAAGCCAGTTTATTTACATTGTGTAAGTGACTATATCTAACATCATCTGCTTCTTCCTTATCCCATTTATTTGTGGTCGTCGTAATATGTTTTTCTCTTCCATTCATCTCTGTTTGCAGTCATCTCCTTATTTACTCCCTTTCTCACCATATCATCTTTCACAGAGTCCATCCATCTCTTTTTCGGTCTTCCTCTACCCTTATAACCATCCACATTCATATGTAACACCGTTCTTAGGGTATGATCTTCATTCCTACGCATTACATGTCCATACCACGATAGACGATTACTCTTCAACCTCTCCGACACCGGCGCCACTTTCATACTTCCTCTGATGTATTCTATTCATTCTTATCTTGTCTATCCATATCACACCACACATCCATCTCAGCATTCGCATTTCAGTTGCATGCAGTCGTCTCTCATCCGTCGCCTTCATAGGTGACTGTTGTTGCTGTTGACATTGTGATCTCGTAGATTGTGATCGAGAAATCCCGTGCATAAACAACTATTGCTATGTACGCACGTTTGTCATTTAGCTTTAGGCATATTATTTATTATTTTATTTATAAATATAATATAAAGAATAAATAATATTATTTCTTAACATGTCGTGTACTTTTGCAAATAAATAAATTATTTAATTATTTATTTTTTATAATTTATTAATAGCCTATTCAATTATTATTTATACTGATAATAAATTTTACTACTGATATTTAAAAAACATAATAACATTTATGATTTCATTTTCATGATTATTTTATTACTAAGTTATTATTTGGTCAAATATGGTGGTATAAGAGTGATATCAACTAATATTATTATAATTATTTGTGACCATAAACATTTCAGGAAGAAATCATAGTGACGAACAGAATAACGGTCACCATGCGTGACGATGGTGAGGTGGAGTTTGCGGACTCTGAGCAGACCACCTCGGACCAGTCGGACAGCGAGATCGATCTGCTGGGCTACGACAAGTGCGCGCGATGCCACTCTTCCGAACACAACACCTTCTACAGATACTGCGATGACTGTTTCAAGGTATACATGATATATATTTTTAAAATTGACGCGGTATATATACGTAAAATTAAGAAAATCACGTTTTTTTATTAATAGTTACTAGCCCTGGCTTCGCACGGGTGTACATATAGTATATATGTATATAAAACTTCTTGAATCACTCTATCTATTAAAAAAAGCGCTTCAGAATCCGCTGCGTGCGTGCGAGTGGAAACACTTCCCGTGCTATTGGCGCTGCCACTCGCGCTGGCGCTCCCTCAATTGTCGGTTTTTCGTGCGCGAGTCAAAGGACTGGCAGCGCGAGTGGCAGCGTGTTTTTACATTCAGCCCTCTCGCTCAGTTGTCGCCCAGCAATATTTCCGGCAGCGCGAGTGGCAGGGGAAGCGGCTGAATGTAAACGTAGCATTGCTACGTTTACATTCAGCCGACCTCGATGCCTCCGCACCTTGAACCCCGCCAGCATTATCATACATTGCGTAGTAACAGTATTTATTGAAAAAGTTTTTTTCAGCAATAAATGCCAAGTGGGCGGGTTGATAGAATTTATTAATTTAATAAAACATGAGCATCTCGTTTATTTTAATTTATAATTGTGGTGAGGCGTATTAAGTTTTTAAAAAAAGATTATAAATCAGTTAGTTGTGCGAGAAGCTCTAAAATATATATTTAAAACAAGAAATAATTATAATACTGTTTAATATTTCTCACAGACCTGAATGTACTTTATTTCTTGTTAAAAAAAACGTTGAAAAGCCTAGTATCACTGCTGATATGTCGGAAACTCAATAGAAATAAATAAAACGTGATAACATTCCGTGATTTTCTTAATTTTTGCATGTTAAGTATTTACAAAACATATGTAAATCTATGTATTTGTATCAGTTATCTAATGCCCATGAGCTCTAGCTAGCTTAACTTGGGTTTAGATTGAGCTGTGTGACTTGTCCTGAGATTATCATTATTATTATTATTATTATTTGTCTATCTATCTATAGATATCTATCTATCTATGTCGTCTATGTCTTGTATTTTATGATGCGTGTATATTATAAATTTCTCCAAACGGTAAAAGAGTCATTAGATATAATTTGACCAATTTTATGACTTTTTTTTTTTGACATTAATGTAAGGACGTTGTATCACTCACTATGTTGATTCAAGTCAAGATAATTTTAAAAATTATCTTGACTTGATAAATTTATATTTAACACAAGACTGACTGTTTGTATTACACAATTAATTATATTACAAGTTGCTAATGTGCAGAAAACATTACAAATTAATGTTTTCTGCACATTAGGAACTTGTTTATTATATATTTATTTGTATATATATATTCGACGGCTCGGTGGTCTAGTGGTTTGACACACCGCCTTAGTTCCGATGGTCGCGGGTTCGATTCCTCGCACGGCACAAACATTTGTATTCATAAGTGTGATTATTTGTGTCGGTCTGGGTGTTTTCTATGTATAATATGTATTTACGAAAGAAGATATATATCTATGTATTTGTATCAGTTGTCTAGTACCCATAACACAAGATTTAACTAGCTTAACTTAGGTCTAAATGGCGCTGTGTGAATTGTCATGTGATTATTATTATATGTTTTGTAATGTTTAGTGAAATATATATTTTTTTATTATTATCTATTTGACTAATGACTAACATATTATACGATTAACGCGTATGCACGACGCACCTGTTTGTATATCTATATCTATATATAAATTAATTGCATTTCGTTAGTCTCTGAACTGTCTGTCTGAACCAATTTGGCTAATTTTAGTCTTGAAATATTCGTGGAAATCCAGAGAAGGTTTAATCGGTGATAAAATATAAAGAAATTGCATGGAGACTAGTAAAAACAACATTCTTATTTTCCCATTAAACTGTCTCGTATTACAATGTTTGTAACAAAACTTCTCCGAAACGTCTTGGCTTTTTGTGAGTATAGTTTAGTTAGTAGGTCTGAAAATAGGAGGTAAAATATTTTTCATATCCCTAAATAATAAGAGAGATCTACCCATCATTTTAATTATTTTGAGAAACATATTATAATATGTATACACTAACTGACCCCGCAAACCCCTTTCCGCCTGAAAATGTAATATCTCAAAGGTTTTTTCAAGTTTAGTTTTAGTTTTAACTAAACTTCAAAACTCCTTTAATTTTGAGGCAGAACAGAATTCGCGGGTCAGCTAGTTAATTATGTATTTTGTCTATTAAATTATACATAAAAATATGTATATTACTGTCATTATTGTGCTGCTAACTGTTTTACTTTTGTACACTACTAGCTACTTGACCCGGCTTCGCCCGAGTGTACCTGTATTATACATATAAACCTACCTCTTGAATCACTCTGTCTATTAAAAAAAAACCGCAAAAAAACCGCTTCAAAATCCGTTGCGTAGTTTTAAAGATTTAAGTATACATAGGGACAGACAGGCAGCGACAGCGATTTTATTACTATGTAATGATATATTATTTTTTCCTAAAATCCGTGTTTACACAATTATATTTATCAACTCAATATATGTACAGGTTATTGATACGCTTGTTACTAAGTTTAAGTTACAATAATCATTATTTAACAGTAACATTACACTAAGTTTATCACTAAAGTTTAAACGTTTATTTATATATTGTTTGCGTAGAATTTCATCATGTTTTAAACTTCGGTGTAACCATAGTCTGCAGGATTTCTAGTTTTCCAAAAATTTCCTACACAAACTGATAATTTTCCAGCAAAAAAGTATTAGTAATAATCTGATAAGCCTGTATATTGTGATACAAATATGGCATCATGGAAGATAACGACAATCTGTATCGCAGTTTTTTAGGTTTTAGGCACAAGTTATATAGAAATGAATGTACCTAAACAATTCATACATATTGCTGTTATAATATAGAATCAGACTGAACACAACGTAAGTTTTTACACACTCTTAAATCACTCTATTTATTAAAAAAACAGCTTCAAAATCCGTTGCGTAGTTTTAAAGATTTAACCATACATAGGGACAGACAGCGACAGCGACTTTATTTTATACTATGTAGTGATGATATTAGGATTGTTACGCCATATAAAGTAGTCTAAGAGTCAATATCGAAACGTGCCCGCCCACCCATATGGTGACCCATATTTGACTAGTGGACGAAGTTTGGCTAGTGAAGGATACATAAGTCCGGACAGATAGCGATAGCGAGGTGTCAAGATGGTCGCGAGTTCGCGACATTCATCGCACGGTGCAAATTTGTTTTCACGAGTATCTCAATGTATATGTGTAATATGTATGTATTTACAAACTATATGTTATTATTATTTATATATAATAATAATAGCTTATATACATATAGTATATGTGATATGAGGGACGTATTTTAATTGTATTAATCGTATAATAATATATATAATGAATCGTTATTTTCCTACTAAAACTTGACGTTTTACCTAGAACATTTTGTTATTGCATAGTATATATCATATATGTAATGTTTGATGTATATGACGTTAATGATATCATCAATACAAACAAACAAAATCAACGATAATACTAAATAAATTATAATTTATACATTTATACATGCGTTATCAATTACACATTTATTTTATTATATAGCTTTCTATGTATATTTATTTAATTTATATATTTCATATCAGACCGTGATAAAAAGACTTACTGAAATTTTTTGCATTATATACTAAACAGATCTATGCTTTAGAAGTATTTTATTTACATAGTTTTCTATATATATTTATTTAATTGTATATCTTATCCGATATAATAAATAGACTTAATTAATTTATGTGCATGATAAAGTACAAATTAAACAGACAAAGTATAAATATGTTATTGTCGTTATATGTCATATGAATTACGTATAAGAGAAAAGTTAGGAAATAATGCCGTGCAGACATGCTGAGTAAATAAATTTGAATGTCACCTTAATATACTGCTGTGCAGTGATGTTGAGTAAATAAATTTGATTGTCACCTTAATATACTGCTGTGCAGTGATGTTGAGTAAATAAATTTGAATGTCACCTTAATATATTTTGAATCAATTTTTTGTTCTATTCTCTTCGATATAAGGTTTTTTGTTGTTATATGTCGTATGAATTATGTATAATAAAAAAGTGAGGAAATAGTGTTGTGCAGACATGTTGAGTAAATAAATTTTAATGTCACCATAATATACTGTATTTCGTACCATGTTGTATGTATTTAGAGTTGGTTTTTTGGTCCTAGAATATTTGTACAGTGGTCCTACCTAAAATTATATAAAAGATACGGTAAAAATGATATTCTAGAAAGGTGTAATAGTATCACGGAAATTAGCCGATTTATTTACGTGTAATAATTGCAATGAATACACACTACATTGAGAGCGTTGTGGGCTAGTGATTCTGTACTACACTTAGACTCCAAGACCATGAGTGACACCAAATGACTGATTAACCAAGACCTATCAGGACCTGAACGTATATAAGAATAGTCGGTGCCAATTCGTTGAATAACGGAGCGTAGAAAGGAATGAAGGTACAATAGAAGATCTAACATTTAATACTTTACAAGTAAACAACAAAGACACTTGTAGAATGATTACTCTACATATTAACCAAATACGAGTACTATAACACTTACAACATCATGCCACAGGAATATTATTATTAATGATTCATTAAAATATATATCTAAAGATATAGATAATTGTAGGTGTGATCAATAGAAACAACAGTAATAATGTTTTTATTGAAGAATGACCAATACAATGACAGAATTACTACACGGTCATCATAATTAATCATTAAATATCCTACAGATCACCAGCCGTAATACATGGCAAATAATATAGACTTGCTGAACATACGGACAGAAGAATGTATATTCAATAAAGTTATTATAAATGATTTGTATTATATGATTAATACTATACAACCACTACATAATGTCATTGAAGAATATACAGACAGCCAAATAGGAACAAATTCAGTATGACACGTAACACTGCGCC